AATCTAAGTGAAATATATTATGAACTAAAAATAATCAACTATTGAGAACAGAAGAAAGCATGTTATTCTCTTCAATGCTTATCCTTTTTTAATCTTTATCCTATTAACTTAAAAGGGCAGATGGAACAAGTACAATTTGTTTCCATAGATAGCTAATTGAATATTTACAGTACTACTCATGCGTACCTGGTTGTTTTTATTTAAACACAAATGATATTCTCCTCTTACTGAAGTTTAGTAGCATGTCCTATCTCCATTTGAATGAAGATCCCAGACGTATATCAAAGTGCAGAACACACATTTGTCAGGGACAAAAATAATGCCACTTCAGCTATGGAGCAACTAATGCCATCTCCATAGTAATAAAAATATATTATGACCTTATGGCAACAGATTGTATTAATATATCCGATCTCTTTAAAATATGAGGTATTATGGGCAAAGTTGAAGAACACTGATTCAGTAAACATGCAGGGAACATGATCAGCATTTGTTACCTCCAACTACAGCATCTACAAACTCTGGAAGTTTTTTTTTTTAATAAATCAAGAAACTCCCCTGAAATCTTGGGGAAACAGTTATGAAATTCAGTGGACTGTCTTCCATGATCATGCAAACAGGCACCTGAAAGTGTGGTTAAATAACCCAAGGACAGTCAAAATCCTGCACTGAGTAGGCAGATGATGTAGTGACTTAATATGGTAGATCTATTCCTTCTTCAATTTCTATGAAATATTACCTCCAGGCCATGTTACTGAACGGTGTGGATTCTGGGTTCAATTCTGATACTAGATCAGAAAAGTAATAATCTATTGTTAATTATTAGAGTTTGCCAAATTAATTTTGATTTTTTTCCAGTGACGTTTGCTTGATTTGAGTTTACAACATCCACAAAACTGAAGCAGTTTTATGAAACTTCCAAAGTGTTCAGTGAAAATCTGGACACTGTTTCACAATCAAGATGTCAACACAAAATGCCATTTTTGTTCAAACATCCGCACTGGGAATTTGGATACAGAAAGAGAAGCAGATAATGGTTGGTACTTCCAAAGAGCCTCCTGGTTAAGGGATTACCACAGGCTGAGAGCCAGGATGCTCAGTGTTTTTTCCCCCTCCATCTGTACCAGTAGCTGCCTTTAACAGCAGCATTTACTTAGCACTTTATAAATACATTACAACTTCAGTTCATTATCCCTATTTTATGGGCTGGGGAAGAGTGACTCAATTTCCAACCGCAGCTAATTCCTGGCCAGTTCACAGTCATTTGGTCTTGGGCCAATGCTGTTCTGTAGCTTAAAAGGCTCTTCTCAGGCGAGTCAATTAAATTTGAGGGTTACTAATCATCAAAGGAGTGAGGTTCTGGCACAGACTTCCAATAGGAGTAATGGGGGCAAACAACATAACTAGTTTTAAAATGGAGCATAAATTTGAGTGGGATTATATGTTGTGGTTGACTGAAATAGCAAGGGGACTAGACACAATAACCCTTCCGGTCCTATGTACTTAATGTTCCTTGCAAGTCCGTATCCAAAGCAAGATTAGAACATAAATGTCCTGGACTTCAGACCACTGCCTGGAAAAAAAGCTCCTTGGAAATTAGAACACAAACTTCCAATCAGCCCAGTAACTTGCACTGTGTTGAGGAATCCTATTGTGGATAATACAAGATTCCTCATGCAACAGTTAAGTGTTTCATAATCCAAACAGCATTAGGAACTACAGTAAAATAAGGTAAGCAGCCAACCAGAAATACCATTTTTTACGTTAACATTTTCTTGAAGACTCCATGGTGCAAAGAAACAGGACTTATTTTTTGTAATCAGCACTTCCCCAGCAAATACCAAGATGCTGTGACTCATCTGTCTCAGTAGTTCAGGGACAGCAGAAGTCATTGCACAAATCTGGATGCAACCTGCCAGTAACAAACGTGCTGTTCATAAATATCAGGTATGGCAGCATGTTCCCCTGCCCAATCTAACCTCTGTGTCTAGAATTGTTTAATAAAGCCACAACAAAAGAAAATTCTACTCTACATTTATAATGAGCTCTCAAGCATTCCTCTTCAATAACCGGCAGTGCCAGGTCCGGCAGACTAGAATGTTGGTAACACTACCTCAGAGACAGAGTTGTGTCTCCAGAGATGTCCTCACTAAGGCCATAAAATTCCATCTCTTTCATCCTTTCACACTCTAGAACAGTAGGGAGCGATGTAACTTATTATGTCCTTAATAGACTGGGAACTCCCTTCCTTGAGACTGCCTCACACACTGAACCCTCCCACTGCATTCCACAGTGAGGATACAGCTGGACAGGTAGGTTTACACTACAAGGTTCTGGAGCCAGGCCTACTTGGGGTGGGGCCTTTACTATTTAACTTCTTGCCAAAAAAATTAGACTAAATCCAAGACTTGGCATGTTCATTACCCAGTGTCAGAAAACTTTCTGATTGAGCTTTTCCCCAGGTGTGATGTAATTAGAAGTGAGTTAGCCAGGAACGAATGAATGTGATAGGTCCCAGAAACAGTCCAATAGAAGAGTGCGCCCAGGGTTCTCCCACTGTTGTGACCATGAGGTCCAGATGCCATAGATGGTGTAGTAAGGTCACCAGGAAGCACGTGGAATTGTTTCTACCTTCTTTTCCCTGAGCTTTCTGAGGGCCATCAACAGACCAGGGAAATAGGGGAAGGAGATGGAAGAAGGGGAGAAACCACTGCCTTCCCTCAGTACCGAAAGTGGATGTCAAGCTGGGAACTCTGGAGTCAGTTAACTACAGGCAGTCGCAAAATTTCTCTGACCAGTTCAACATGATGGGAATTCTCAGTGGCAGATCTGGCTGAGTGTTTTTGATACTTCATTTGCCTGCTGGGAACTGGCAGTGAATCAGTCAGTGGGTTATTATGTTATCCATTGATGGCAGGTACACTGCTCAAATGGACAACAAAAGCTAAGCTTAACAGTAGGGGACAAGATGGGGGATCAGGGAGAGGGCCTGCCATGAGACTAGATGGGGCGTTGCAATCACAGTCCCACTGAGAAAAGAGTGGTGCTACCACTGGAAGGGCTAGTATGTCTGGAGCAGAGGGGAAGCCTTAAAGAAAGGAACTGATCAGCTCTTAGCTGAGTTGATTCGAGGTGGCTGGATGTAGGAGAGATTATGGCAGTGCTGGGAGAGTTGCAGCAAAGCTCATTTCAAACCAAGCAGAGCCCCAAGAAAGGCTGAAGGCAGACACTTCCGGGTCCCTGGCTTTGGCTGCTTAGTAGTTGAATCCTCGAGTTGGAAATGGAGACTACAGTGAGGGCACTTCTACTCCTGCTCCATGGTCAGGAGACAAAACAAAGAAAGTGTGGAGGTGCTTCTATATTCATCATGTCTGACAGCTCTTGCCTTCCAGCAGGCAAAGCCATGATGCTCCATGTACTGACTGCTTCTCTTCATAGAATGGCAGAGGGGCAGTTTTTGCTTCACAAACTGATCTATTCTGATTTTTTCTGTGATACTCCTTTTTCATGTTGAGACCCCAGCTCTTATGCACATGAGATGCAACCAGACAGTCGACTTGCTTGGAAATAAAGACGTAACCATACAGGATGATTTGTTAAACAAGACCTAAAGACCAAATCAACCCATAATTACCTTTTCTATTGAAGGGGGAAAAACAACAAAAACAAAACTGAAACACCTACAACTTACTGGTACTTAGTTTACTGACATTGTGGCAACAAAGAAAAAAAACCACAAATGTAACTAGTTTCCTTTAGTTCAAACATGAAATTTATCTTTTGTGATTACATCAGAGGGAGGCGATGCAGGGGAAAAGCTGAACAGCAGGAAACCATGGTAGTAAGTACGAGAGAGAGAGACAGATCACTAAAATACAATGTACCTTTCACACTGCAGTGCAGCATCAGCACCTGAATCACACACAGCAGCAAAAGAGAATGGTTATTAATAGTTCATATTTATATTACTTATCACTCAGATACCTCCACAAGGATCATGGATCCATAGAACTAAGTGCTGAATATGAACATGAAAATATGGTTCCCTGCCCAAGTCTTAAACTTTAGTTGCAGCTGCTATTTCTGGTGCTCGCTGCAAGTGAATGAACCCTCTGCAGAGTGAGCCTCTCTGCCCATATCGCCACAGCAAAGTAGAAGAGTTAACTCGTTTAAATAATACATTTGAGTTGTTATTAATACTTCTGGGATCATTATTTGTCAAATCATTGCACAAACATGTGTTCTAAGGCTCAAGAAAAGAAGAGAAAGTATCACGATACTCTGAGCCAACCATTTTCCTACTTTTGGTGTATTAAGACTTGTAAACTTGGGCCATAATGCACAATCACCCAGCTCAGAAGATGTGGAGGAACCCAGACATAGGAGAACCACAGCACCAGGCAAGTGTGGACTTTGCACAGGTTCCCAGAGGTCCTTATTGGGAATCAACAGCACCTATGCACCACCGAGTGCGGTTTCTGGGGGTTCTTTGAGGCAAGTCTCAAGGAGCCTCTGGTCGTCTGCCATCTCCCTCCCAAAGATGTCGCTTTTCAGTAAACACACAGAACTGAACTATCTCCCCAAATCATTTAGTAAATATGAAATGATTGTGCACCAGGCATCTATAACTCTTCAGTTTGAGTGATATAGAATATTCAACAGTTACTACTTACATCTCTATTTATTTTGTAGTAACAACTAATAAGCATGGCTTCTTTTTGTATAGCATCTTTGAGCCTACAGATTGAAATGGAGCACATATACAGGGTTCCCTTCACCAGACACTGAAATTCAGCCATCTCTGTTGGGTGAAACGTGGCAACTAGTTAACTGTATAGGTTCAGTACTGACTCAAAAGGGAAGAATGCCAACATATGCCTCAGCACCTACATGTCCCATCCAAGTATTGACATGGACCTGCTCACTTAAGCTTGCAAGATCACTGAAAGATACCAGAAACTGGAAACTAGTTACTAATAGGCATTAACTAAAAACACTCATTTGACTTGAAAACATTCTATTTAATTTATACAAATAACTACTAAATAGAAAAAGTAGATTAAAAACAAAATAGTGTTTTCTGGCAGAGTTTAAATGCACATTATGTAGAGCTTAGAAGAAAAAAAAATGCATTTTCCAACAGCATTCATGACTTAAAAATCTACTGAAGTCCTACATTGCTTTCATGTTCTAGATCAGTAAGACACTAGATGCGGTGTTGTGTGGGTAGTGGCTAAATATATGTTCCGCATTTGAACTGAACTCATGTTACAGACCACACCTACAAAAGTGAAGCATTTAAAATGTGACTAACACGTTGTAATATGATAATACAGAAAGCAATTTCTGTTTCAGATTATATTGTGTTACAAAAACGTCTGTGTAAGAAATAATGAAAGAGGCCACATAAAAATAAGCTTTAACTTTATGCACTTATTCAGTTTTTTAAAACTGGCAAGTGCATTAGTAATAAATAATTTGCAAGTTTTGTATAAATGAGAAATTCCTAATGTTCAGCATTATTGTAAACATCAGTACACATGTAAAATGCACTAAAATCTGACAGGTACATTTTCAATTTATCAAATCGATTTCCTATTGTTCAGACACAGATCAATGGGGTACATAGCCAATCATTTTTGGCAAGTCACGTCTTTAAAATTAACAGTAACAGTGCAAGTAAGGAATGCAAAGAATTCCTAGTGCAATAAAGAGGAGAAGCACAGGCAATATTGCTGATTAAAATTTACCACTTCCATGTGTTTGTCCTGGGAGTGACTAGGAGACTCTCTATAAAAAGCTATTCAAAGCCATTGTTTAATGCCCTGATCTTGTTTTAGGATTTCTGTGTCTTCCTTCAGGCCACTATCTTTGCAACAGTACATCCAGCATAAGTCTTTATAGTTTGACCCTTTGTGAAATGCCCACGACAGTCACTGAGCAGGGTTCAGGGTTCGTATGGTTCCATTGTTTCCCAAACGAATGGCTAGATAAGAACGTCTGCCTCTAAGAAGCCATTCGGGACCAGTTCTAGAACTAGTCAGGCCAGAATATTTCTGAACTGGACAAAAAAGACTTCCATCTTGACAGCACCACAAGAACATCAACAGTCAGCTTTCAGTTTATCTAAGGAATTATCAATTTTGGTCAAAGTCTTTTTGATACGCAGGGCTGTTAGTCTTGCCGATGGATTGTGATACCAGCATTCTTTCATCAGCTTGGCAAGAGAGGTTAGTGTCTGGGAAGAGAAAAAAAAAATAGACAGTTGTATATAAGCACACAGATTACAAGCTCACTGAAGTTTCATTAGCCTTACTGCCTTGTTAATACTCAAATCTTTACAAAAATCTACAACTTGGTTTACAGCTACCAAAAATGATTTCATCCCTTCAAAGTTCTGCAGGATTTTTTTGTTGTGTTTTGGTTAGTTTGTTGAATAAATGGAAATAGTATTTAAAGAGGATGGGGTCAAGAAGATGCCCTGCCCAGTGCAATTAAAAAAGGTATGGTCAGATAAAAATTATATTTGAATGTTTAAAAAGAACACAGTTTTACTAAATAGTATTACTAAATCTGTAAATAATGCAACAAAAAGTAAGTTTTCTATAAAAAACATAAAAAGCACTGGAAAATACATGTATTTTCCATTTGTAATTTTAAAATATCTAAGGCAGTTTGTATATCTGGGAAACAGAGCTGTCTAACGTGGCAGGACAGTTCAAGTAATATATAGCTGAAGTTTATTTTATTTGTCCATGACTAACAAATGTGACTCAAATATACATAAAACACTGCAGAGATTAAACCATAATTCCATATCTTCAGAAACAGACAAACCAGTTACTCAAGTGCTGACAGGATATTCGAGGGCACAATTACATTGATTTTTGGTGAAGAAAAAAGAAGATTTTTACTCTTACTACTTTAATCTTATGTTTTAAAAATATTTCTTGATATGGGCCCTTATAATGGGGGAGAGGAGAAAAGTCAATTTTGACATAATCTGCATATTTATAACCCTCATGTCCTTACATAGGTTACTTCAACACCAACATGATTTTCTACTGAAGAGCAAGAATAAAATGCGCCACAGTGGGTGTGGCCATTTAAAAAACAGTCTGGATTTATATCACAGAGATTAGATTTGTTTCAATTAACCTGGTGAGAACTTGTTTGCTGTGGTTTTTCCCTTAACATACAGTCAGGTATCAGCACACATTTGGCAATCTATCTTTGCAAGCTATTATCTTAGCAATAAACAACAGAGACTATTTCAACTAAAAGAAGATATTAACAGCTGAAAACAGCTTACACCAAAAGATTATTGCAAAAGGCACAAATGGTATGAGCTGACATTTCAAGTCATGACCTCCCGTTTGCACACTTACTGGGTCTGAGAACCATCTGTTGGGAATGTTTGGCCTTTGCTGATCCACACAGACCACTTTTCTCATATCTTCAAAACTAGGGTCATTTGGAACCACATCATAGAATGGAGGTTTATAGTCTTCTACAATACCTAAAACAGATGAAGATTACATTATTGTGCTGCTGGCTTTTAGTGACTTCATAGATTCATTGATTCTAGGACTGGAAGGGACCTCGAGAGGTCATCGAGTCCAGTCCCCTGCCCTCATGGCAGGACCAAATACTGTCTAGACCATCAGTAAGATGTTTCTGCACTGAGGCTGTGGTTATATGATTTAACAACCATACTATTACTAATTCTTATCAGACACACAGGTTTACATCTTCAATATGTTAATCCATATGTATGACACTTATGAGGTAGGCAAGCATCAGACCAATTTTGCAAGTGGAGAAACTGGGGCACAGAGAAATTCCTCAAAACCACACAGTGAATCAGTGACAGAGCTAGGATTAGAACTCAAAGTTCCTTGCAAAAAAAAAAGGGAACACGCTTAGTTGGCTAAACCATGCTGCTTCCCAAATTAATAAAGGTACAGAGAATCTATGAGATTCATAAATTTATGGCAGGTAGCTGGCTGGTGAAAGACATTAGCTAGCCATGAGGAAACCTAGCATCTCACATTTTAAAGGCTATGTCGAACAAAAAGCAGTAATTTATTCCAGACAAGCAACCTCCCCACCCCCCCAAAGTAAATTCAGTGCTAAACTATATTACTAATAAAGGGTACTAGTTTTGCCTGTGCATTTCCTTCCTTGACATATTTAACTCAGAGATTGCAACTGTTAATGCAAGTGTAAATTATCAAAAAGGCTTTTAAACTCCTCTTATGCCCTTGGGAATTCATTAACTCCTTGACATGAACTGACTCTGAAGAGAAATGGGGATTTTTGTTAGCAAAATGCTAACAGTAAACGTCCCCAGTCTGTATGCTGGCTTTGACTGGTTGACCATAAATATCTGTTTTTCATGACTCATGGAGGAAGATGAGAAGCACTTAAGTCTCTATATGCTCTCACACTGACACCTCAAAATGAAGATCGTTCTCTTTCTTAAAGACATATTGTAAAGCAGGTGTCATATGATACCATAAGGCTAAGTGAGTGGGGAGCACCAAAAGCGTAAGTTATGTTTCAAAATTTTAGAAGCCCCAAGATTTGCTTGACAGTGCTTAAATAAATCTCTGAACTCAGGCACATGCTGCACATGCGTACCCACAGTGGACTATGCACAGGGTGTCGAAAAAGAATCAGAACTGCCAAAAACCATGAAAGAGAAGGTAGGGGAGGTAACGTTTTTTTATTGGACCACTTGGTTAGTTACAGAGCAACTAGACACTTGCAATTAGCCCCTGCCAGCCAACTTGTGCTCGCAGAGCCAGAGTCAGCTGGCACAGGCCAGCTGCAGGTTTTTCATTGCAGTGTAGACAGACCCATAGACAAGATACAGAGCTGTTCTTCAGATCTGGAAAAAAATCAGAATGTCACAGCTAGATACAAGGTGGAACAGTTGCTTGTTAAGCGTAAGGATTTAACACCTGTTGCAAGAAACTATGCAAAAATGAAGTGGACACGCTCTGAAAAGATAAAGAAGCCCACTATCTGATATAGTGGGCTTTAAAACAAATACAGAGAGTGCTCGGACACAACAGCACAAGGAGAATGACCGAGGCAGATATAAGGGTTTCAGCGGATGTAGACAGAAGAAGAGTAATAGAAAACAACTAGCTTTAAAAAAAGGACTAAAACAGCTTGGCATAGACTGGAATAGCTAGAGAACCAAAGCAGGAAGCACAGAATACCATTGAGATCTTGTGTGACAAGGTATGGAAAACAAGGAAAAGTTCAACGGGCTTTGATACAGAAAATCCTGAAACCACTCTATATATTGAAGCAACTGCAACTTTCAACTCTCCCACTTAGTCACTGCAATCATCTTATTTTTCGATTAGGGATGTAAAACATCAACTGTTAAAAAAAAATTTGAATCAGTTAAACGGTGAACTTTTAAAATGGGATTTACATCCCTATTTTGGATGTGCTAATAAAATATCATCAGGATTCCTGCCCCCCCATGATCAGAAATGACAGACAGTTCATTGTGCCTCAAGCTCTCTCAGCTTTTTCCAGATCTCCACCTTCAAGCCCCTCTCCCATGGAGCTGGGATCTAGATATGACCAATGTCATGGCTAACAATATGGATTAGACAGAGTGATTGCAAGTCCAAACACCCATTGTGTTATAACCCCCTGATTGAGAACCCCTGCTTTGGAAGACTAAGGCCTTTCTATAATAAAAAGTTGCATTGCCTTTAACTACACCAGTACAGTTAACGAGGCAGTGTCCTGTCCAGTATGGACACAGTAATACCTGTATAGAAGTGTTTATACCGGTATAGCTTAGGCCTGGTCTACACTAAGAATTTACAAGTTGGTGTAGCCACATGTCTCAGGGGTGTGACAAATCCACTTCTGAGAGGTGAGAGCTAGGTAAATGGAAGAATTTTCCTATCAGCTTTGTACTAGTTATACTGGGCCTTAGGCTGGTCTAGCTATCGCCTCTCAGTGAGGTGGATTACGTACGCCAACAAGAGAATCCCTCCTGTGGGCATAGTTAGACCTCTACACTGAAGCACTACAGTGGCTGCTGTCGCATTTTAAGTGTAGACAAGCCCTGTATTCTCAATTCAGGAAGGGCTTTTACCAGAATAGCTATTTCAGTTACAAAAAACCCTAACAAAGCGAAGACTTCATCTCCATCTGAAAGCTATACCAGAAATCTTAAGTGTCAATCAGGCCGAAAAAGGACATACAAGCAAGAAGAGTATTCATTTGGAATGGTAAAATTACTCAAATATACCAGGATGTAATGAAGGATTCAGCTACAAGAATGAAGGAGCATTTAAAGTTAAGACTGATTTACATAGGGAAAAATCTGATACAGTGGTATCATTCAGCCAGGCATGTTGAATTGTCACCACTAGAAGATACAGAAGTTTGGGGATCTTGTAGGAGTAAAACAGATTCCAGTAGAGTGTTCAAATGTATTTCCTATTTGGGAGAGATGTCTCAACATTTAGTTTTCTGTTTGGTTTACTTAATAAGCCACTCTGATAGATTCCTTCAATTTTACGTGAGTAAAATCTTTTTTATCCCTCTTTAAATAAGCTACTTTACAACATGATTAAATTTAAAATTAATGGAGATATCCCATCTCCTAGAACTGGAAGGGACCTTGAAAGGTCATCGAGTCCAGCCCCCTGCCTTCACTAGCAGGACCAAGTACTGATTTTGCCCCAGATCCCCAAGTGGCCCCCTCAAGGATTGAACTCACAACCCTGGGTTTAGCAGGCCAATGCTCAAACCACTGAGCTATCCCTCCCCCCCAGTGTAACTGATTACTGAACTATAGATAAATGTGTAAGATACAACAGATGGCAGAGATGGAAAAGGAAGAAAAAGCCTATTTTAACTCAACTTAATTGCAAAATTAGCTTTGATAAGCATACAGAAGTGCAGATTCCATTATATGCAATGTAAAGTAATATTAACCTACATCTTCAGAAGTTATTAAGTGATTTGGGGCACTTCACACAGTCACCCTGAGAAGGATCTGATTTTCAGAAGTGCTGAGCAACATCTTATTTATTTTATTTATTTAAAAGCACAATGTTTATTTTCTCCCCCATTCTGCACATCCTCTAGTCTGTTGCTCCAGAACAAGGCTTGGTCTAGAGTAGTCCGTGGAGACATCCTCTCAAGAGTCCCTCTTTCTGTACTTCAAATGTTGACAGGTGTGAAGTGTAAAACTAGCATTTCATTAGAGTTAAAATGCAAAACTTCTCCCTCTTGTTCAACATCTGAATGCAGAAATGCCAATCTAAGGCACACATTAGGGTCTACCTTTTGGGGGAAAAAAGGGAGGAGAATTGAATCTATATTTGAAGTTTGATCTAAATTTCAGCTTAATTTCCAAACCTCATTAGGATGTTAATAGAATCTTTCCTTTATCACCACAAACATAGCATGGATTTATTTTAAGTTACTATTTTCATTTGGTCTGGTATATATTGTTGAGTAAAATAAATGGCCTAATTACTTTTAACCATCATAGTTGACTATATTAGATCTATAAGGAACCAGATCTGGCCTTTATTCTAACAGTTAAGTCAAAAATATTTTAAACAACCATGCCAAACTTTATGGATCCTATGGGATCACTATTGGCTCCACAACAACTGTGAGATTATGTCAGCAAGCCACCGTAACCTCTAGTCTGCATTATCGTAACAGAGCTGTCACTGTGAACTATGATATCCCTCTCTTCCTCACTTGCAAGAGAAGAAAACAAGCCTCTTAAATCAAAAAGAACAACCCTAAGCCCATGCCAGTTACCAAACAGTTTAAGGATCCCTTTCATAACTTAGAAAATACTTCAATGCTCCCATATAGAAGCCAGCTTTTCAATAAATTGAATTAATGATGAGCTTGCATCCAAGATGGTATTTTTCACCCGATTACTCATTTCTTCATGTATACAACGACTGTATGAAATACAATGCAATTAATTAGTTAACAGGCAGACCTTTGTATAAAAATATGAGGCAAAGCCGCCTGGATTGTGAAAATGGGTATGTAGTCTAAATTCTCTTTCAGTTACAGTATGTCATGATTAGCATTAATGCTCAACAAGAGGATAGTATTAGAAATCAGTGAGATTGGGACTCCACCTCTTATTGCTATTACTTCTCAAACAGACGGTGGAGTCTCGGACAAACACCTGTCAGGAATGATCTAGATCAGGGATCAGCAACCTTTGGCACGCGGCCCACCAGGTAAGCCCCCTGACAGGCCGGGGTGGTTTGTTTACCTGCCGCTTCCGCAGGTTCGGCCGCTCGCAGCTTCCACTGGCCGCGGTTTGCCGGTCCAGGCCAATGGGGGCTGCGGAAAGCGGCAGCCAGGGATGTACTGGCCGCCGCTTCCCGCAGCCCCCATTGGTTGGAGCGGCAGACTGCGGCCAGTGGGAGCTGCGAGCGGCCGAACCTGCGGACGCGGCAGGTAAACAAACCACCCCGGCCTGCCAGGAGGCTT